GTTAAAGGGTTTAGCAACCTGAGGAATTGCTTGTGGCTCTCTAACTGAAGGTTGCTTTTGTTAGTAACAAAGGGTGCAAGTTCCAGAAGAGGCAGGGCAGGGCAACCAACCAAAAACACTCCACAAAACGATGCTACCACTAAGCAAAAAAGCTCCTACTTCAAAGACCAGTCATGGTCACTGCCAGTTTCATGTTTGTGTGTGTGAAATATTAGAGTTGCACTCACAGAACACCATTTGGGATTAATACTGCATGGGAAAATACAAAGGGATTGGATTGCAAGGAGGGACTTTGTGGCTCAAAATATGTTCTGACTTTTTTTTTTAAGTACTTAAGATGAACCATTCTACAGGTGCCTCAGGGGTTCAGCATTTTGGCAATTAAAGGCTTTTGGCACAGTTTGAGGTTTCTTGGCTTAGTCAAATATTCCAGAAATGTTGATACTACTTTGAAAGTTTCCCAGGAGCAAGGGAGCTCAATTTTTCACCTCTCTCCCCACAATCTTGCATATATACAGACACCCAAAATTGCAATCCCTCTTTATCAACTGGAATCATTTGCAATCTTAATACACCCAAACTACAAAACATACTCATCTCTTTCTGTCTGAAAGAAGGAAAGAAAAAGAAGACAGAAGTTCCATGAACTTCATGGGGAAGAAGATACTGTTTGCTTAACTTTTTGACGGCATCTGCCTCATTGCTGCATTTTCACCCATGCAAAATTCAGCCAAGGTCCCACTGATTTCCGAGGGAGAGGTTAGCACTCGCTGCTTTCTGCCTCATTCAGAAACAGGGGAGCCAGCTGTGCAACGCAGAAGCAAGCCAGGGCGGTGCAGTGGCTAAGAGCGCTGGGCAGGAACGCAGCAGGAGGGCTCCCGTCCCACTCAGCCACGGGGCTCCCTGGGTGAATTCTGTGGGCCGGCCAGCCACTCGTGCCCAGCCTGTTTCACCACGCGGGGTTACTGGGAGGATAAACAGAAGGACTGCGTAAACTGCCTGGCGTACCTCGAAGGGGGAAAGGTGCTGTTCAAATGTAATTCAGATATAAATACAATTGCTGGTTTCAATAAAGTTTATACTGAGAATTGTAGTCTTGAAAAAATTCAGTTGTGGCTGAGCGGCAGTCGCCTGCCTTTTACACAAGAAAGAAACATTTCATAGCGGTTTCCTTGCCTGCTGAATTAATTCTGTTGCACTCAAAGATAAATTACAGAATGGCCCATCAAGACAAGCAGACAACCCCAAAGCCAAAGAAGTCTGACGAGCTGCTTAGACTTATTTTGTAATCCATGCTAGGCTAACCCCTCACCATGAATGTGAGAATACGTTTTTAATTCAGTGTTTTCACTGGAAGATGCCAGACCCTAATGATCTTTGTATTTCTTTCAACAATTATTCCTGGAGAACTACGAGTTCCAAAATTACCGCACGATGCCTTCGGTCTGGAAACACCGAGATGCCTTCAGACGGCACTTGCTCGCCTAAGGGACCCTACGATACCTTTAAGACAGATCGCAATGGGCGAAGCTCTGCTGACTTCCACGCGAAGGCTGAATTTACTACTGCTCTCTAGTGTTTAATCACGGCCACCGATTTTCACAATCTAATTCCTGTTTACAGAAAACCACCCTTTGCTTTAAAGGAGTCATATGACAAACAACTGAAATCCCATGACCTGGTTGCCTGGCATTGACTCTCACTGCAATTTTCCTTTTGGGTAAATATGAGGAGCTGGACATGCATCTACTGAAACTAATGGGACACGGTAAGCAACTATGTTTTCTGTGTTCCACAGGTTTCTGGCACCTTGCTTGACTTTAGGTGGGTCTAAGCCATTGCTTTGCTTGGTTTCAAAAGAGACAGGAAGACTTGGAATCCAATGGTTTCCGAAAGGGAAAGGCAGCAGCCATTTTCACGGCTTCATTTTTTGTCGTTCAGCTGTTCCAAGATAATGTACCGGATACCTCCATTTACTTCTAAGCAGAGATAAATCAGCTCCAGACATTTATCCAGTTGGCAAAGATATGAGGTTTTAATATTAAGCATATGAACAGTAGCCGGACCTACTGAGAGTCGGACCACCTAAAGAGTTCGTTCTTGCTACAAGAACATCATATCCCTTGGATCAGTCCCATCTCGTTGCAATGGAATCGCATAAGGAAACCAGTTCAGTTTTTATCCCTGCACATTCTCTCTCTGCAACAAGCCAAAAAATTCAGCTGCCTGAAAATATCAAGTTTTGTAATATTTCTACTCAAAAGGAGAAGAGTTGATGAACTGAGGGTAAAAAGAAATCAAAGAAACCCATTTTTAAATCCTTTTCAAACAGATACAGACAGAAATGACATTAATCCTATACACCTGAAAAAACAGATGCATCTCACATCATTTGCTGAAATCCAGCAGTATTTTTGCTTATTATTACTGGGGAGGAGGAAGAGAGGTTTAAAAATTTGACTGTCAGATGTTCAGAACTTGTTCGGTTGCTGTTATGATGCTCTCCAGTTAACTCACCGCCCGTTTACTAGAAAGTGGGGTGCATGGAGTCCAAGGGACCCTCTTCCCAAGGACACATGACTAGAGGTGGGCTCATGAGCACCCCAGCACACCTCTGAACCCCAACCGCCTCCGACTGGAAGCTCCCACTGATGTAGCGACACCGTCTCACATCTGCGCATGGTCACTTTCTTCAATAAAACGTCAATAAAACTTTACAGTGGTAAAAAGTGTCTTTAGAAGTTGCAAGCTGCTAAACCCCCATTTCATCACTGAATTGCTCTGTTTTTGTAAAATCATCAGTTCTCCAAATGCCCGTTTGAAATAATGAACAGGTGTGTCAGTGTACCTGTTCTTCCAGCGAGGCCCTTGAAACTGATGCTTCCAGGGGGCTGTGTGCTGGACCGTCTGCCTCAGCCCCACAGCAGGGATCGTGATTCCCAAGGGAAACATAAGGATCCACCGCCAAAACCAAAAGCCCCCGGCCTCAGTCTTATGACCGTTTCCCTCCAGCAGCCCAGTTCAAGTGGACAATCCTGTAGCCCCCATCGAGCAGAGGGAGGCACCGCTGTGGGCCCGGCTCGCACCTGCTGCCATCCTCTTTTGTCCCATCCTCTGCCAAGCAGTGTGCTGGAAGCTGCTTGGGGCAGGGCCCTTCCTGTTTAGGGTTGCTGCCACCCAGCAAACACGGCTGCCTCATCCGCTAACAACAAGTGCACAGAAACACCGCTGTGGTTCTTGTGGCTGTTTTAACTGGTCTTGGTATCACGAAAGCCACATTTGCCCCGTGGGAGCCCGGGCTCCTGAGTGAGCGCTTATCCTGACCCAGGAGGAAAGTGCCAGGCAAACAGACGGCCGGCAGGCCCTCGATTCACACGTGGCTGATCCAGGCTTGGGCTCACGCAGTGTCCCCTTGTGCGCACGCCGTTCAAGCAGGCTGGCACGCCGCTGTCATGGGATGCAGAGCACCCCACATGCCCTCCTGAGGGCACCCCGTTGGGGTGCTGGTGGGGAGAGGAGCCCTGGGAAAGGTGCGTCGGCAGGGGCGGAAGCAGCGCCGGTGGATGGGAAGCACAGCTAGCTTTGATCGGGCTACCCGAAAGGGGCACTCTCCCCCTCCGCTTCGCACTGCTTTTCCCTCCAGCCCCAGCGAGCGGTTTATTCCGCTGGCAAAAATGGAAGGCTCCAGCTCATGTATTTCGGGAGGCTGCGTTCCTACCGTGTGATTGTTGCCTAGCACAAAATGGGAGGAAAGTGCAGTCCAGGTTCTGATTTCAAACACAACAGATCTCCCCGTGGAAGTGCCAAAAGAATCGAGTGTTTACCATTTCAACTGGCAAAGGCATAACCGAGGCTGAAAGGCAGGAAAGGAAAGAGGATGTTGCCAGGAGAACTGGGATGAGTTTGGGCCGCTTATCCTACTGCACTTTCAAAGCCGTGGGATGGTTTACAGGGCGCAGTGGCAACTGCAGAAACTTTCTGATCTCTGCACAATGCATTCGAACGTTTGTTGGCAGGACAGATACCCTGGGCCAAAGGACACTCACTATAAGCCCAAGATTTAAAAAGTTGGTGATCTGCTGTCAAACCTGCCAGAGCGGTATACTGAGGGTCACTACCTGCACACTGATTAATCTCTTTGGGGGTTTTTTTAAAGCAGCAGTTTCAATAGTCCACCCGCTTTTGTTACCTTGTCTTTGTGAAATCTAGACCCCTTTGAAGTCAACAAAAGCTGAAGCTGTGCTGTTGACTTCAAACGGAGACAGCCTTCAACTGTGAAAGCCAAGAGTGTCTTACATACTTTATCCTATAATAGAAAGTTTCATAAAGGAACTCTAAGAGCAGGAAAAGGGCAACATGAATGAGAAATGTGCTTAACATTTCATCTACTATAAAATGGAGAATGCAAATTTAACATGGGTGGTGCAGGTTACCACTAGGTTTGTGGTCTGCCTTTTCAGCCAGTACATCAACTCCGTGGAGCAGGAAAAACTGTTTTGGAAGACACTTTTGGGCCAGCAATGTCCACAATGTTTTCAAATTGCATTTAATGTAACTATGGTTCAAGAAGGCAGGGCTCAGTATAAAAAGAATTTATGGAGACGAACAGAAAAACGGATGTGTCATGATTTTCCTTAAGTCACAGCTAGGGCCAAACTGTTTGATAGTACTCTGCCCGCTAGAACACGATGGGGTCCTATTTTTTAAGGAGCAACGTTTTCAGAGCTGGAGGCTTTAAGCCTTGCTGGGCTGGGGCGGGGGGCTGCTTTGGGACAAGAGGGAGGGCAGGGAGAGGATGGGACTAACTTCTTTAGCCATGGGTCATCATTCTCATTATATATATATTTGCGCTACGCAAAGGATGCCATGCTGAAAACGCACCGAAGGCCATTCCGCGGCGGCGCAAGGTGCGCTCTGACGGCCGCTTGGAAGGCGCGAGCGGCAGCCTCGAACCGGACGCTTCGCGCCACGGGGCTCCGCGGGCGGGCGGCGTTCCTTACCTGTACCAGAGCAGCCCCTTCTCGTAGCACCTGTCGAAGAAGTGGGGCTCGGCGCCCACGGCGCGCACGTCCGGGTGGATGCGCAGGAACTCGAGCAGCGCGCGCGTGCCGCCCTTCTTCACGCCGACGATGATGGCCTGCGGGAAGCGCCTGCTGCCGGCCGCGTCGGCCACGGGCAGCCGCGCGGCGCCGGGGCCCGGCGGGCGGGCGCTGCCTGCCGCCTCG